AGGGGCTGCCCTGAAATGCCGCCGGCTCCGCGGGGCTGTGACTCCGGCTGACAAAACCCGTCCACCCTCCCGCAGCCTCTGTGGCCGGGTCTGCCCATCGCTGCATCTTAATGGGACTGTTGCGTTTTAATTTTAAAAAATTAAATGTAAATAATTATATCATTGCGCTGGTACGATTTCTCTTGGAAGGCATTTTCGGAAACGTTAAAGAGAAATACAAGCGGCTTCACCTCGGCGCATTCTGTTTTAGGCTCTTGGCAGCCTTCACAAGGAGGCAACCTGAAGGGCAGAGGCAACGCTTTTCTGTGGGGAGCCTCCCTCAGCTCAGCGCAGAGCAGACGGGCTTCCAGTTTTAAAGTTTTGAGGAAGGCAGAGCATTTATATAATCCTGTTTTAAAATGATGAGGGATAAATCCTTTATTACAGTAGAAGGTCCAAAAGGCTGTTTTTCTCCCCTCAAGGAGCGGCTTGGTGTTTTGTGACTGTGTGTGATACAGTGAAATGCCGGGATTTCTAATGAGCTTGATCTCAAGTAACAGGGTATACAGGAGGCCGCTCCCCTGAGTTAGCATTTCAAAGGCGGCAGGAGAAGGGAAAGGAAGGAAAACAAAGCAACACGGGACTATTTTCACCATGGTCAATTTTATTGCTTAGGAACCAGGCCAGTCACTTCTAAAGGCCCTCAGAACGACCAACAGCTGAAACCCGTGGGGCGGACTCCGTGTTGAACTGCGGACAGTGGCAACCACAGCAGGGACAGGGACCGGTCCTTCCACCAAGAGCGGATTCCGCAGCGGACAGCAGTCACTTGCAATGGTAGTGATTTATCCAAAAACAAACACCCACCTAATGCCTTCACCCGGTCCAGGAACTCTGTAGTGTTCTAAAGTAAAATCAATAAAACATATATTTGTGTTTCATCAACAGACTCTCTAATCACCTTTTAATGCTGTACTTAGTGCTAGGAGAAAAATATTTGCAACAAGGTTATTACATGGGTTGTTTGTAGCAGAGCAATGAGGAAATGTACAGTTTTGTTTCTCTTTAATATTTTTATATACAGCCCATGTTAAAAGCAATTTCTATTGGAAGCAAACTAGGCTATTTCTATTTCTCCCATGATATTATTGTTGTAATGTAGAATACTTGGCACCATAAAACAGTAACAAAAGACAGACAAACGGTTTACAAAATTCTTAAAAGGTACACCCAGGCTAGCTATAAACTTCACATTCAGTTCTTAATATTACACAGAAGAACGGCACGGGAGTAACGGCCCGCCAGTGCAGACGTGCTGTGGGGCCGATTTCACCCACGATGGCGAGGCCATGTGTTTTCTTACGAATGTGTGTGTTGATGGACACACAGCTGAGCTCCTAGACTCCGATGCTGCCTGCTGATGGGACTCTCTTGTGCATTCATACTGGAAAGTACATTTAGCATAAGTTTTGGTAAGATTTATAAATTATTTTTAAAAAGTATATATTTATATATATTTATATATATATAAAAATGGAAAGCAGCTGCAGTGTGATTCAAAAACCATGTGACACGGCGCAGAGTGCCGCGGAAGGGGCATCGGCAGAGACAGACCCCTTCGCCATGCTGGGGGCCACGCTGCCGGCCGGCAGAGGGAGCGCCCATCTCGGCTTCCCCAGCCCCTGGACACACCTCCACCTGGCAGAGGGGGGTCTCTGGACACGGGGGAGGGGTGGGGTCTCTGTGCTGGAGAAGCCCCTCCACTGACAATCATTAAAAACTGAAAACTGTGAAGTCTACGGTACAGACCCTCTTTGCTGTCTATTAGAGTTTTGACAACAGGACTGTGACTTATTTTTAAAAAACCAATATTTCTACTTAATGTCACATGAACAGACGAGACAGTGAGGTATGTGAGGCTGTTCCGGAATGGTCCGGAGGCTGAAGCAAAGTGTGGGGCTGGCCGTCTAGCAGGTGGCGCTTGGGTGGGTTCTCGATGCAGCTTTGAAGGTGCGTATTCAGTACACGGCTACAGGGAGGGCTCACGAAGGGTCCTCTCGTGGCGCTGGCATCTCTTCCCTGGCATGGAATTTGTAATTTGTTAAAGGAACAAACGCACCAGGAAAAGCTGTGTAAAAGCTGAACTAGAGGGAGGAGTCATATTTACCACCACGTCACTGCACGACACAACACTTGTGCACACGGGCATGAGGTTTACCTGCCCCGGGCATGATTCGGAAGGCCAGGAACACGGGCTGCAGCAGGGAGAGAGGAGAGTGTCAGCACGGTGCATGCGGGACAGCCCAGCACACGCCGCCATCTCCCGTCTCACCCCTGGACCCTGCGTCTCACAAGGGCAGCCATGAACCGGGCTGGGAGGAGCTGATGGCCAGCAGAGGCAGCTCAGCCCTTGTGTGCAGCCACCGCAGAGCAGGGGTTGGGAGCCCCGTGAATGTGGAATTGGAGCCAGGCCGGCCATGAGAGGTTTTGCAAGGAAGGTGTTATTTCCAGGTGAAAACTTAATGGGAAAACTGATCTAAAATAATGGCTAAACAGGCCCCGAATGAAGCGGGGAAGGGAGGCTCTCCCATCCTTGGCTCTGCTGCACCTGGCAGGTCCAGCGCCTTCTTGGCGTGTGTTTGGGGCTCACAGCTCTGGGCCTCCAACGTGGAAAAAGGTAACTCATTTATTTGGCTGAAAATGAGATTTGATATGTCACCTGTGCACACTCTCGAGGTGCAGTTGCCTGAATAAACCATTTGTGCCAGTGCCGCCCCTTGGCACGCGGTGGGAGCGCCCTCACCCCGGCTCCCCGGCTGATGGTGAGCCTGCCCCAAGAAGGCCATTAAAACACTGCGGCTGCGTACTTGCAAAACAGCCGTCAGAAACGATCAGCGGTGGACGTTTTTTACAAATAGTAAAATTATGTATTTTATTCTATTGTAACTAGTCATTTCTGCCTTCTTCCTACTTACCCACCTAGCTTATGATACTTTATTAAAATTAAATCAAAA